TTAATTCTTTTTATGGTGAAAGGCACTTCTATGAAAGTAGTTTAAGAGTTTTGGCATCATCAAAAAGGAGGAAATTGCAAGGAATAATTGTACTTAGATTTTGATGATGCTAAGCTAATTAGGACTTTAGAATACCCCTTTAGAAATCTTGTATTAGAATTTTTCTTTGTGTAAGTAATAACATAGTCGACTGCCCAGGACCCCTCTTGGATCTCTTGATCAGAGCTGCTACCAGAACTGCTCTTTAGAGATGCTACCAGAGCAGGGCACCATAATTGGCAACAGAGCCGACCATCAGAGTTGCTATCAGTGAACATCTTCTGACTCGCCTACACTTAGAAGAATTCAAAGGCGCTTCAAATAGTCGTTAAACTAAAGGAAATTCCCTAACGGCCATGAGCCTCTCAACGGAAGATGTCACTGTTCACACATTTAATGCTCAATTAATGTTGTTCACTCGTTGAGATATTTAAAACTAATGATTCACCAGGAAAAGATATTCACGCCCCCAAAATAGCAAGTCGGCTACTTTTTGAAAATCAACCGGTCAAATCTACAGTACGCGCATTTAATGCAATTGTCCTTCTCCTCCAACGGGAAGACAACCCTAGTATATATGATACAACCTGAAGAACAACTGGATAACTTTTGCTCTCTCTACAACATTCAAAGTTCAAATAAGCTTTCTTGAGAATACAACCTCATCTTCCTGAAACAAGAAAAGCTTCACGTTGGAAAGATAATACACTCATATCTTCCTATTCCAACCAAAGAGCAAAGTTCCTCCAGTTCTTCAACACTTCAAGCACTTCATCTTAATATCCGTTGTAATGAAGTTACATTGGAGAAAAACAGTCACTCATTCAAACATTTCTTGCAAAAGAAGGGACGTCTCAAAGTAACTGGAGTAGTGAAGTGGGGATACTTCAAGGAGACTCAGTGAAACGAGACCAGTCATCAGGAAGCTAGGAAGAGCATCCCGGGTGACAACTAGGCTTGAAGAAGACGTGGAGAACTTCTTAAGTGCTAGGGCTAAGGCGTTGTAACTATCGGTTTACAAGTTTAGTAGAACAGTGGACTAGAGGAACACGTTGTTCCTTGAACCACTATAAAAAAAACGGTGTCATTTACTTTATGCATTTACTTTTTGCACTTAAGACTCTGACTGATTAACTCAAAAAGTTGGACTCTGTGTTCAGCAGATCTTCCTTTAGAATTAACAGAAAGGCATTTGCCTTAGTGTTTTCCCGAGGCTACCCGGACAGAACTCTTATCCGCTGCCAGGTCCAGTTCTGCCATCAGAACTCGACCTTCTCTGTCACCAGAACCAGACCTTCTCTGACAAGTCATTTGTGACTTTGAGAAAAAGTTTGAAAAACCTGAACAGTCTATTCACCCCCCCTCTAGACGGTTCCTAGTATAAACGGGACCAACACACATGTTTCTGTTTTTTAAAATAGAAAAGGGGCATTTTGATAATAAGAGTTTGAAAATAGTCGCATTCCTATAAAAATTCCTTTGTGAGAAGCCTTTGGACCCGATTAGGTCTATCAATGGGTCGGGTCCGGGCCGGAACATAGTGTTCCAGACTCGAACCTGTTAAGATAATAATGGACCCTGACCCGAACCCAACGGGTCTCGGAATCGGGTCGGGTAGACCCGCCAAGTATGATACCGTTATAAATTTTGTGTAAATAATAAGACTTGTATATGAAATGTAAAGAAAAGTATGCAAGCTAAAAAGCAAAATATATCTTCACTTTTTCAAAAAAATCAAGGATTCTCGTATTAGTACGTTTATCCAATATAGTATCGGTTCTTGCGTATATCTCCACACTATGTGCCGCTTTCTCTCGCACATGGAGTTTATAGAATAAACGACAAATTAAGTCATGAAAGGTGTCTTGGACTACTCAGAGTATACAAGCGTATTATACGGAGTGTATGATAATGATATAATAATATTAATAATAATACTCCCTCCAGTTTTAAATAAACTTCACACTTTCCTTTTTGGGTAGGTCTAAAAGGTAAAAGGTACATATATACCACTGTAGTATAGGTGGGGGAACAAATATACCCCTGTTCTATTTTTCAGGACAAATATACCCTTGAACTTTTAAAAAGCTGCAAAAATATCCCTCATGTTTTTATAAAGGAACAAATTAATCGTTATTCACTTTAAATTAATAAAATAAATTTCAAAAAAGACCAAAAATAAATTAAAAATCGAAATTAATAAAAAAATAAAAATGTAATTGTGTCTGATTCTCCCTTTGTTGTTTTATATCACAATTTAATATTTTTAGTATTCAATATTATTTCAAAATATGTAATTTAATAGTGCAAAGAATGCAAAAATAATAATTTTTCTTTACATTGCAAAACATATGTTAGCACTTTTTCTAAAGAATCTTAAACATACAGTAGAATTTTAAAATAATATTTCATACTTAAACTATACTTCCTCCTCCGTTCCCTTTTAATTGCAACAGTCAACATTTCACGTTTGCCAACGCACAAGTTTGACCATTAATATCTTTCATTTCTTATTAGTAAAAAAATTAAAAACTTCATATTTTGAAAATTTAGAATGAGAAGAATTTAACAATATTTTTTAAAAATTTAATATATAATACATTAATTAATAAAATATAGTCAAAGTAGAATATGTGAATAGTGTAAAAAGTCCAATGTTGCAATTAAAAGAGATCGGAGGTAGTATTAAATTGTGATATAAAAACTATAAAAGGGAGAATTGGACATTATTACATTTTTTAAATTTTTTGTTTTTTATTTTCGAATTTATAATTTATATTTGGTGTTTTTGGAATTTATTTTATTAATTTAAAGTCAATAAGGATTAAGTTGCCCATTTAACTATAAGAACATGAGGTATATTTTTGCAGCTTTTTAAAAGTTCAGGGGTATATTTGTTCCGAAAAATAGAACATGGGTATATCTGTTCTCACACCCATACTACAAGGGCATATTTATACCTTTCCCAGGTCTAAAATAACATTCACACTTCCCTTATTTCCTTATGTGTCAAACAGTGTACTCTACAGTAAGTCAAATTTATTTCCTTATAATATAATAATAATAATAATAATAATAATAATAATAATAATAATAATAATAATAATAATCATGATGATGATGCTGATGATGATAATATTAATAATAATAATAATAATAACAACGATAATAATAATAATAATAATAATAATAATAATAAATATTTTGATTTGATTACCGAGCCCAATACGCAGTATGAATAAAGTCAATAAACGGTCAAAATGGGTATTAATTTTATGCTATCTCACGATCTCGGACAATATCACTTATATAATAGGTATGTATTAGTGAGTATATTTTTAAGTGAAGAATTACGACTAATCATTGTATGTATTATTATGCATATATGTATATATTACTTTGTATTTTTTATTGGAAGTGTTATAACTAATCGCTTTATGTATTAGTATGTTTGTATACAAATAAGAAATTTTAAACGGGTCCGGATTCTTAACGGGTCAGAATAATATGTATCATACCCGACCCGTTTATTCAATATACTAACGGGTCCAGGTAAACGGAATAAAATATAGATCCATACCCGTTAAAAACAACCAGGTCCGGGTTGGGTCCGGATCTAGACACGACCCATTGACGGGCCTAGACCCATATAGCACGGGTGGAGGGCGATTTAAGCAAGGGAAAATGGGCAAAATCCCTCCTAGAGTTGTCCCTAAAGAACAATTAAGCCCATAAAGTTACTTGTTGTGCATAAATCTTGATATTTTATTAAAAGAGGGCAAGTCCCCCCTTGTCTAATGGTGACGAAACGGGAAGATAACAGGGTTGTTGAAAATAATGTTGAGCTAAGGGGCAAATCCACCCCAGAGTTGCCACACTATGCATCTTAAGCACATGAACTTTTTTTGGTGAGCAAATGTCTTAAATAAACTTAATGTAAAGAGTACATGAAGCTGGAATTGGGATTCAACGGTACATGAATTCGCCAAAACGGGTCTAATTTCGTCCATCGGGTTATTAGGTCTGCTAAATTGCTGACCTGACCAACGGATTAGGGAGATGCCATCCAAATTAGGCACCTCATCCGCATACACTAGCCTCCAAGTCAGCATCTTCTGTTGTACTCCAATCGAACCCTAGAAATTGAGGCAGCCTTGCAACGAGCAACGACCTTAGCGTTCTTCATCGCCGGACTGATACACATCTCATCGGGAGAAGAACCCAGCACACCAGACGTGCCGCTACTGACCTACGAACAGAAGGGGACGTCGCTAGAGTGGCCGTCCGGATCGACCTCACACCGGAAAAGACAGAGTGTTGCGCCGGAGAAGAAGAGCCGTGATGTCGGACCGAACTGCTGCCACCGCCGTCGCTCGCCTGAGACACCGTCACTGCTATTGGAGGAGACAGTCGAAGTCTCCCAAGAATTTCAGAAGCAATCGCCGTTCCCCTGCGTTGTTGGCGTCCAATTTCAGGGATTGAAGGGTTTTTATGCAATTTTGCAGGCCAATTGGACTTCTTTTATTATTTCAAAATATTTTAAAAATAAAAAATGAAGGATTTTCCATTAATAATTGCCAACTCAGCGTTTTATCCCACCTAATGTCTGGTAGGACTAAATTAGCACTGATTATCAGAGTTTATGTACGTCTCAACCTCGATTGCATCATCAGATACTCTTTACTACCCCGCTCCCAAGTTGATGTGTCAAACTGACACTTTCCTCCTTAAATAAATATTCAAAGAGAGTAAAACATCATTTTAACTCATTGAAATGTGAAATTATAATGTAAAACTCATGCCAAACGTCCAAAACAGTGGCAAATAAAGTTGCAACCCATGGAAAAAAGTTGAAATATAAAGTTTGGTATATCCAACTTACCAGACTAATAAACTGTGATCCAAAGAAGCTAATAAACTGTTGATGCAATAAATGTACTAAAAAGAGATATCAAATATGTTGATCCCAAAAAATGCAGCCACATTCATCAAAAATTACGGCCAAAAATAATATTTCATCAAAAGGCCAACTTCATAGCATCCCCACATCACTGAAAGTAATACCAGCTACAACAAAAAAACAGAATAACACCTATATGTTCATGCAAAAAATGTTAAGTGAATGTTAAAGAAAACATTCAGCCACCACAATTTGTTATCCTTGGAAAATGTCTCTCGATCCACCCGGTTGATTGGCAACTTTATCTCGATGTGCTTCAAGTTGTCTTGCCGTAATCGCGGGATTTCATAACCAACTCAAGCCAGAAGATTGAAAAGGAAGTGTTGACGATTCTCTAACATCGTATCCATCTCCATAGAATCGAATATTCCTTGTGATTTCACATGCTCGCTTAACAGGAAGTTTTTTTCGTAATGTTCTTTCACAAGGTATCGTCATTTTTGTTTGAGCATCTGGGTTGATGTCAATTTGTGACACACCATCTACAGTGACCGTCTGAGATTCCATTCCAGGCTGAAAAAACAAAAAGAGGAAATAAAACCCAATGTTTATGCATACCACACACAAATATAAAAATAACAAGTTTAAAAATTATGGTAGTTGAATACATTGAGAACTGTTCTTCCAGTATTTTCATCCACAAAACAACCATATCCCATTGAGTCAACTGGTGCATAAAAACTAGATGTATTTACAGCATTTGCATGTGCAGAAAAAGTGTCTTGATTTCTTCTTGGGGAAGAAACTACAGAAGCAGATCCAAGTGTGTTGTTGTTTGTCCAAAAAAACTGTGTGCTTTGTATCGCCTTCACCTATCTCGTAACCTGAATCGCCACTAAATACAATCCTGCACCCCACAACAAGCTCTTTATTATCCAACAAAGTTTCCATTGATTTGGGTGGCCAATTATTGAACCATTTATCTGACAGCTTTTTATTCTCTGTTATTCTTATCATGGCTTTGGTTCTGATTTCTTCTAGCATGGTCACAATAGGTTTGTGTCGGGCTTCTAGTATCCATGAATTGAAAGATTCTGATATGTTGTTATCTACCATTTGTGAATGGCATCTTCTACTAAAATAGGCTCTACACCATCTTGAAGGAGGATACCATAATAGATCTTCAACACCTTTCTTACGCACCTAAAAAACATAACATTATTTAGCAATGCAAGGTCATATATATGCATTTCATATTCTAAGAGTATGTATAGAAGGATAAGATATACAGTCTTTTATAACTAAAAATATAAATGCATATACTTGCTCTTTTCATATATGAAACAGGAAGGTAAGATATACGAGTTACTTTAGAAATAAAAGGTAAACTTAATGTAGTATATATTTATGAATCACAATCTAAAATGTGCTCCAAAATGCTAGTTTTATAAATACATACTTACCTTCCCTAGCTTTTCTAAGTTTCATCATCTTAGCAGTATACTTCGGGCATTGATAAATTCTATCCTTAAAATACTTGGCCAGCCAGCTTGCAGAAGCACTAGATAAGGAATAATGCCTATAACACTTATGTTCATTCACCAATGTCTTCACAGCTAAACCAGGATTTTTTCCATCTTTAGATATATATAGATTCATCATCATCTCATCATCATTACCCCAGTGCCGCAAAGGCTCTCACCTACGGTGGGGGAAAGGGGGGTCAGATGTACGCAGTCTTACCCCTGTACTAAAACCACAAAGAGACTGTTTCCGAATGACCCAAGTGAAAATCGCGTCGAAAATTGCATAGACTGACTGTTACTTCATATCAAAGAAGCGCAAACAGTTTAGTGAGTCACTTTGCTTTATTCCAACATATTCTCAAGCCAAAAAATAGTGACTCTTTGGCTCCATTGAAAATGATGGAAAATAGATATATATAGATTGAATGGACAATTTACTTCATTCACACATCTCACTCCAATTCTTTGAGGTTCGTTTGGGTCAATTTTAACCCCCTCTGTATGAAATGTATCTCGCCACTTTCTGCACCATAATTGTTCCTATTATGGAGTAATTCATTACCTTCTGTGCAGATTTCTTTCAGTTCAAATTCTTCATCATCACTGACTACTTGTAGCTCACCTTCATTATCATCTTCTATATCACTCACATAGCCTGTTGGAACATCATTATATATGTAATCCAATCCATCTACAATTGGGTTGACATTTTCCATTCTGTGTGACAAGTCATCAAAAAAGTCATTAGTCTTAAGTATTTTTAAATTACAAGAAAGTACCTCCAGAGGCTTGGATGTTGTTGTTGACTTGTTGCTGTAAGAAAGTACCTCCAGAAATTAAATAAGAAGAAACAACATCCAAATTATGTTCAAATAGTAAGAAAAAAACGTGTGACTGCAGAAATATATTTTAGGCATGACTGAGGCTTATTATCTCTATTTTAACATGACACTGGTATAATTGGTATTCATCATAGCAGCTCTTATTTCATGGCATGAGTTTCTCTACATGTTGGTTTATACCGTCAATGTATTGATACTGTTTACACTTCGAAACCATCTTTGATTCCAGTTTTAAAGCATAAAATTCCTCAATAAAGTCACCATTAGAGTTTCTTAAAAAAGTATTCTTATACCAAACATTGAATGGTTTAATATTCTCCAATTAAGTAGCCACTGGAGTATAAAGCAATAGCATCATCTTTAGGTCAGATTCTTTCGATAGCAAAAAACACTGAAGTGGAATTTCTCTAATGTGCTCCTTAATTAATTAGTTTTCTCAAATAAATAAATAAAACATGTGTATTTTAAGGAGGAGTATACAAATGAATTATGAGGTTTTTGTCGGCTGATTTGTACAGAATAAGTACAAGAATAACAACTACACAAGTTACTGTTTTACCTTCTTCCCGATGTTAATCAGAGAGAAAGAAGCGGCTTCGCCTGTAGGGTTCATCGATAGTAGAGTTACAGAGGAGGGAAAAGTTTGTCGAAAACCGGTAGAATTTAGTGGTAGAATCTGAGAAGTACATGGAATTCCAACGTCCGGGTGTATTGAATATTGATTTTTAAAAGTCAATAAAAGTGTGTGTATTCAAATAGGATTTTAAAAAGTTAATACAACTCCGTCAAAGTTTAGGCGTATTCAATACAAACTTTTAAAAATGAATAAAAGGTTAGGCGTATTAAAAAAAATTTCGAAGCCCGTGGAATTGGATAATCATTCATATCCGTGGATTTTCAAACCCCTAATATAAATACTCTTTCTCCATTTTTTCTTATCATCTCCTTCAAGATTTCCGCACACTCGCTAGCGGCCTTTTTACTTCTCTCAACCAAAGCAGCCAATTTCTTCCAGGTTTCCATTCTTCCCCGTCTCCTAATTTCTTCCATCTGTTTATGCTGCGATATGGATGATTACCCATCTATTTATGTGTGTGTTTCTCTGTCTTCCGCTTGTATGTATTCCGATTAATCTCACTTCGGGCGGAGGTTCCGCTACTCTCTGCCGAAAAAGAGTTACATATATGAATTACAGAAAACTAGTGATTCAAATAGTCATTTACAACTTGGCCTAATAAGAGAAGTAAGTTGCTCGCAACTTGAGTTCATTGATTCAGATTTATCCCTTCCTTGGCTTGAAAGCAGAGGGGATAGAATTGGATCTCCTATCCCTTACGTTATACAAAGTATTTTTAGTTTGCTAGTTCAAATTGATATTTTTTAAACTTTCTCACAACACTAATCATTAGGTTTGCTTACTAGGTTTGATATTATGCAATACTTTGAAACAAACATATTGTTTTTACCTCGTTTACATTTATTAAATTTAGTTTGTAGTGGTCTTTTATTGTTTGACACAATCATATAGATGGGAGATTCACAAGCAATTCCAAACGGAAGGATTATAAGACTTGGACTATAGAAGAAAGCAACACTTTGCTTGAAGTTATGGTTGAAGGTGCCAAACTTGGATGGCGTGATATTAATGGCGTTATAAGCAAACAAATGGTAGAGACTCTACTTCTTCCTATGCTTAAGGAAAAACTTGGCCATGAAATAGCTTATAACCACTACCAAAGCAGAGTAAAATTGTTCAAAAAGAAATATTCTAATTACGCTCAACTTATGCGTCATAATTCTGGCTTTGGATGGGATCCAATCACAAAGAAATTCACGGCAGCTGATGAAGTGTGGTCTGACTATCTGAAGGTTAGCTGAATTTTTTTGCTTCATATCACTTATAGAAGTTCTTAAATGATTATGATCATTATCACAATTGTGTCGTTTTACTGTATCAGTCAAATCCATCACACGGACACCTTCGAACAGGAACATTTTCAGACTACGAACACTTGAGAGTCGCGGTGGGAAATGGAACAGCAACATGAACAGGCTCGATTGCTTTAGGTGAAACTACAGAGGCTACAACACTGGGAGCACAAGAGGAGGAAATTGGTGACATAGACGGACTATGTTTTGACCCAAATAGCAACACTTTCATGCAAAGTGAAAGTATGTCATCGCCCCAACAAACCTCTCCACTTTACTCACGACATCCAGATCAACGTACAAATATAGGGAAATCCATCTTCATCAAATAAAGCAAATGGAAAGAGGAGTAGGACTTATTTGGAAGGTTCTAATAACATCGTAAAGGGAGGTAATAGTCAAGATGCAGTTCTCGAGAACTAGTGGATTTGGTAAAATTGTTCAAAGCTTTGATAAAATTTGTTATCTAATGGAGAAGAGGGAATCAAGGGACACTGATCTTTTGGATGCTATGAAGGAGACTCCTGGATTAACAGACGAGGATTGCTTTAAAGCTCTTGATTTGCTGAATACGAAAGCAAAGCAAGATTTCTTTTTAAGGATGACTCTTGAACAACGTTATTAGTGGATCATTCATCTAGATTAGGTGAATCTCCACTAGAGATATCCAATAATAAATAGGTCATATTTGAGTATTTACTTTATCTATTGTTCGTTGGAGTGATTTAGTTTTATATGGATTGTAACATGATATGGTGTATTTGACTTGTTTTATGGATTATTCTTTATTTTTTTTGTTTTATGGATTGTCCTTTAGAATATTTTATTTTACAATTTATCATATTTTACTTTTTAAATTAAGTTCTTTTTTCCTTCTATTAGCAATGTGTGAAACAGATTTATATGGAGCAGATGAAGACGAGGTTGAGTTTTATGAGGCTCTTAAGATATTGTTAATCGCAATAGAAGCAGTAACTTACATGATATATAATCTCATTTCAAGATTCAATGATGAACCTATTAGACGTCCATTGACTCGTCGGCCTATGACGGCTAACGGGCTTAAATATATGGATGAAATAATGGCCGACGACCCTGGAACATTTAGAGATGTGTACCAAATGTATCCTGACATTTTTCAAAGATTATGTTGTATCCTAAAAAATAAAACGCCTCTAGAAGATACACGATATATTTGTGTTGAAGAAATGGTTGCAACATTTTTACTTATCGTCGGCCAAAACAACCGCTATAGTCAACCAAGGATGATATTTAAGCGGTCACACTTCACCATTAGCAGAAGCTTCAACAAAGTATTGAAAGCATTGAATACAATAGCTCCAGAATTTATGGCCAAACCGGAATCCGTACCACATGTAATCAGAGAGTACAAGGTTTTATCCTCACTTTAAGGTGAGTAATGCAACACTTTATTGATGATTATTAGTTTAATTTTACACTTAATTAATTTTTTTGGTATACTTTCTTTTCCTAATGTTAGGATTGCATCGAAGCAATAGATGACACTCACATTCCAGCAACTGTAGTTGGATGAGAAGTGAATAGCTATCAAAATCGTCATGGGACTATATCTCAAAATGTACTAGCTGCTTGCAACTTTGATTTACAATTCATATATGTGCTTAGCATTTGGGAAGGTTCTGCTCATGATTCAAAAGTGTTAAATGATTCAATTTCAAGGCCAAATGGTCTTAAAGTGCCGCAAGGTACACTTTAACATGTTTATACTTTTATATAAATATGTGATTACCGATTACTTAACGCACCACATAATAGACTAATGTATATTTACAAATCTTTGATTATCCAATTACTCATTGTACAATATAATTGTGTAATGATTTAATGCTCAGGTAAATATTATTTGGGGGATTGTGGATTTCCAAATCGGCATCAGTTTTTAGCTCCTTTTCGAGGTACTCGATATCATCTTAAGGATTTTGGTGGTGAAGGAAATCACCCTGTCAATGCCGTTAAGCTATTCAATCTTCGTCATGCTTCTTTAAGGAATGTGATTGAACGGATATTTGGAATATTCAAGTCACGCTTCACAGTCTTCAAAACATCACCTCTATTCTCTTATAAAACACAAACAAAATTAGTTTTGGCATGGTACATAATTTTCTTCGACGTGAATGTCGATCTGATGAGTTTCCTCCAGACCCAGAAGAAGACCCACCTAGCGACAATGAGGATAACTTTGAATGGGATGATTTTCAAACACAAGATCAATAGAGAGCAAAAGCCAACGAATGGAGAATGAACCTTGCTACTCAAATGTGGGCGGTTGCAGAAAATAAATAATTTTGATCCATAGTTCAATAGCACAAGACATTTGTTTCAATTTTGAGCATTAATGACATTTTTCTATGTTGTTTAATACTTATACTTGAATATTTTATTTGTCATAGTTTTTAGAGAACATTGGTTATTATATTTGTCATATTTTTTATTTTCCTTCATAGACTATCATATGAATGATCTAGTAGGATGGATGTTTGATCTCTGTGCATTTTATAATTCTAGAAGCCTCGCCTGGTCTATGGATTTATTGAAATCCATAGAAGTCATTCATATAAAAGTCATTCATTTTAAAAGTCCGCGAATTAAAAGTCAATGGATTTAAAAGTCCATGGATTTATAAGTCTGTGGACTTTTTTAGAAATCCACGGATTAAAATATATCCACCACAATCCACTTACAATACACCCCTGAGGAAAGGGGCTTCGAACTTCTTTGATTGGATTATGGAAGACTCCCGCTCATTCGGATTAGGGTATGGGCTATCTAAGGGGGGTGTCCCCAACACAGATTTTAAAAGATTTTAATGGAGTGTGGAAATCCATCAAAATCCACATGTCCTCAATTTAGATTGTAAAGGATTCCTTACCAATCTACCCATCCTCAAATATTCCGTAGAATTATATTCTCATGGATTTGGACGGATTTTAATGGGATTACATGCTAAAAACAAGAAGAAAGCACTCCACCACAATTCGATCCCCCCCTCAGATTTCAAATCTATACGGAGCAAAAATCAGTCCTTCCCTCTTGATTTCTTCTTCTTCATCAATACGGTCTTCTCCTCTCCCGTATTTTTGGCCCCATAATTCCCCTTCCCACTGTGATCAACTGCGTTTTTTTCCAGCTAGGTCGTATTCTCAAATAAACTGATAGTCGATGATTAGAGGTGACTGGACTCCACTACAACTCGGCTCAATCATGTTTTTCTCATAAATGTAATACTAATAAATACTACGTATTTGATAAATACAACAATGATAAATAAAGTGGAGACTTGTTTTGGGATACGGAGGCAAATTCCACTAGGGTAGGTAGTGGCTGATGGGAGAAAAACATGGTAGCTTCAAATCTTGAAAATTAGAGAAAACCGGTTCTTCCAAACCAACAATAATCCATCCATTCAAATCAGTTGAAATCCATATGATTCTATGATATATAACTCCATAGAATTCCATAGGAATCTCATAGAATCTGTAGAATTCTATTAAAATCTATAAAATCCACGCTCTATTAAAATCCTTTAAAATCTACATTGGGTCCATATTTTCGATAGATGACCGTCATCTATTTACACTCACCGTCAGACATGGGCATAGTTGCCCCTTCTTAAGGGAATATAAAGCTAATTGCACAAAAAATAAGTGGGCTTAAATGTTCGCAACTTGAGGGGGCTAAGCAAACAAGAAAAGAAAAGGCGCGAGTTTATCGGTTGAAAACCAGAGAGTTCAGCTTGTATTTCGGTGGCTTCTCAAGAGGGCCGCTCAGTTTGTGCTGAATTGGTGACCTCTTTTTTAGGCACACTGGCTGTCATCCGGCTCTGGCATTTCATCGATCAGTTTCTGCGCAGCTTTTGGAAACGTCGACCAAATGCGGGGGCTGCGCGGATCGGTTTGCAGCTGATTCGGCTGTTCAACAGGGGGCCCTCATTAGCTGGTTTTCCTGGCCAGCTTCCGGTGCCCACATCTCCGCCGGTATTCTTCTTCAACTCTCTGGCTCATCCGCACTATTTACAATCGGTTTCAACATTTCCCCATATTATTCTAGAATGCATTGATTTGATTGCGCTAATACAATTTGATAAAAACACGACAAAGTTGAAACTTTTAATGGCAATTTTAGGTGGTGGATGACCGGAGCAGAAAAGATAACAAAAGTTGAACGATTATTTTATTAGACGTTGGATTTTAAAATGATGGGTCCCACATAAAACTTTTCAGGCAAATATGATAGGGTACAAGAACAGTAAAACTGGCGGATCAAGATATTCTGAAAGCTTTGTATTTACTCCGTATTGTATAATGTTTGAGCATGGAAGATTAACGTACTATCCAAGGCTTCAAGCCTCTTTTTTCATATCGTACCCAGCAGTAAATACGCTAATTGTGGGAGACTTGAACCCTGAAATTTTATTGTAACGATTTAATCATGGCTAATGTTAATTACCATTTCATGGAAAAGCTTTGTGGTTTGCTATTCATGTTACACCTCGTGATGCTTTAGTGTCAAGGCACATGGGAACAATGATAAGCCCATGGTTGAACATGCTTCTTGAAAGCAGAATATGGAATCAGGTTGAATTGGCTAATGCAAACTGCAGGTGTTTGTCCTAGTTTGAAAGAATAATATGCGAATTGAGGTTATTTCTCATAATGGAATGTTGGAATGCATTTACTCAAAGTTTCAAACTAATTACTTTCTAGAAAACGAATAGATATAGAGCTTGTGTGGAATACTGGAATGTGATCAAACTAAGCTTTATATTCTTTACTTTTCACGGAAAGTGAATGACCGATGACAGGAGTGGATGTAAGAAAGTGGACTCTTATGGGAAGTGGATTGAGTTTACTTTGACTTCCACACGCCCCCCAAATGGCCAAATGACTCATGTCCCCTAGTTGCTACAGTAAAAGAATAATGTCCATGATGAATAGCACAAAACTAGATTTCCAGAGTTGGTTACACTAGGACCCAAATAGAAATGTTAAACAAAGATGTTTGTGTTTATAATGTCTTGGGCTAGACTAACTAACCATTGGATTCAATATACTAGTGTAATTTGACCCATGTCAATGATAAAATCATAGATACATAAATCGCTCAAACACCCACAAACTGCGTTCCGAACGCCACGTACCCAAATGTGGTACGAAAGCGTTCCAAACGCTACTCGGATCGCTCTGTAAAACGCTGCTGCAGTCGTTTGCGATCGCTTCCCAAATCGTTCCCCATCGCTAGCCAGGTTGTTCCTAAACGTAACTGGAGTCGACCGCGACGACATACAGGTCGCGATAAATCGTGAATCCGAACAGTCTCGTCGTTTCCTGTGCAATTAACATAAACAGGCACGTTCGTTTGAAACGAGTTAGCCTCTTCGATTTCCGCTCCAGGTAATCAAATTATGAAGTAAGAACTCTTCATTCTCGTCTTTTCCTGTGCGGTTAACATAAGTAGGCGTGTTCGTTTTTTTCCTGAAATATTAATGTTTTTTTCTATTTTGTTTAATGTTATGATTTATGATTATGAAATCTGTTTTAGATTAATGTTATGACTTATGAAATCTGAAATTCAGTTTTATTGTATTACCAAAATATAATGTCACCGTACCGAACGCGTACCGGAATGAACCTACCCCCCTCCGAACTGGATACGCTAGATCTAGCAAACCGCGTTCCCGTTCCTCGTTCCCTTACCGAAGCATTCCGCGAACTATGTGACTATGGATAAAATCTCATTATAAACCAAGTTTTATCTGACAAATTCATGTATAAATTTCAGTGTTAAGATAAGGTATGGAACCATTACAAAAGGCATCAGCTCAGTCAGCTAAACCTATGGAACCTCAATATGACATTGATAGTGGCGTAAAGTCATCGACAACTCAGCAACCCGTTGGAGGAACCCGTGTTCTCTCATCATGCAAGAAGTTGAGCAGTTCATTCTCCTCTAATTGCTCTTCTCCTGACACTCCACTTGATAGTTCTTTCTCGGAGAGCGATTCGATATATGAATTAACTCCTGAGGAAGATTCTAGTAACTTATTGACCACAGAATCACCATCAACCCAAGTAATGGAGCGTCCTACGGATGAGCCACAAAGGATTCCATCTTCTTTGTCTGGTAAAGCGAGGTTTAGAAAGGAACTGGGATGGAGCATGGGGTCCAATGAATCACTATTCAGTATCCAACTGGATCATTCAAGTTTTTCTAGAGATCAATTCACGTGGAACTCTGAAGAGCTTTGTCAACATGAAGAAGCTTCTGAAGGCCCCGCTACTGCGGCAGGTTTCTCTCCAGTGAGGCCGTCATCTAGCCATATAACTGAGTTGGCTAGGGGTGGGGGGATAGATGCAGCAGAGGCATCCATGAGAGATTTCTTAAGGGACAGTAAATATCAAAATAATGAAAAATGTTGTGTTGAGGGGCGGACTTCTCGTTACTCTGATGAGAGTGGGGCCAGTGGAAGATCCTTTGCATTCCCAATGTAAGTAGGTCCTGCATTACAAGTTTTCCATCTCATCTCGTTACTCGTTTTCTCTTAATTAATACTCTATTTTTATTTGCTGATTTACATATTTCTTTTAACAGAGTTTTTTATTATTTGCTCCACTTTTTTATTTTGTCAAGTTTTACCCTAACAAACTGCACATATACCTTCACTTTTTCATCTTTCTTTCCTTTTCTTTTAATTATTGGAGCAAATAATAATGAATGGATGGAGTAAGACTTCATAGTTTATTTTAATTTAGGAGAATGTGTTACAAACTTACAAGTTACTACATGGATGTATGTTGTTTTCTCAATAGTGTTTATAAAAATCTGTGGCTAAATCAGTTTGAATGAAAACAAGATTGTCAGGGGACATAGATAAAAATGCTTCGGCAAAGTTAAGGCCAGACAAAAAGCAGCCACCTCAGTCTTTGATACCGCCTGAGCAAGAGGGTGAATCGTTGCAGAATCCTCAATCTGAGCAGCAAGTGGTCGTTGCACCAAAACAGTGGTTTTCCTGCTTCTTGTGTTGCTCATTCTGTTCTTAGGAGACTTCTTGGTAATTCGTTAACCCTTTTTTTGTGTCAAGATAAATAATGGGTTGATAAATAAGACCTTAGGTTGAATTAACTAATATGGAGTACTACGTAGATTATCTTTGGCATGTTTTGAGTCAAGTGCCTTATGGCCCAGTCCAGTGACCCAACCAATTCCTCAACTCTAACAATCATAAATTCGGGGTCTTTCTGTCTTCACTGTTTTACCCTTGTTCCCATGGCAGGATACTATATTATATATGCTAAGAAGAGTTAATAATATACAGTGAAGATGACTTGAGGCATTTTGGCTTTCAAGAAGATCAAAGAGATGGTGTCATGTAAATAGAAATACAATAACATTGCATCCCTGCTGATGTCTAGAGAGCAGCTGATGGCCTTCATCGACAGTTTTTATGAAGAAAGTTTTGAGGATGTCATGCCAGCATTCTCCGGTTTCATACGAGTAGGTGGTTATTTATTAAGTATGACTTATTCGGGAGGATCCATAACTTACTTTGGAGCTCCCTCCATGTAGGTTATTTTACTAATGTAAATTTGACGCTAAATATCATTTTGGCTTCCCTTCATGTCGAACGAAATTAGGCTATGATCACTTCTTATATTTGGGAAATGCACTTTAACATCTTCGTGGCATTTAAGCATTTCATTTATTATTAAAAAAATTATTATTATTTGTATCACCTTTGGTAACATTGAAGTTAGATAAATTAGCTGAATATAATGAAATTGCTTAAACTATTGCTGAAAAGTGAGTTTCCCCCGGAATAATACTAATTAAAAAAAATAATTCATAAAATACTTGATGGATAGTGTACTCGGGGGTATCTATCTGAGGGGTTAATGTGGGGAGTAACTTAGAGAGAAGTCAGAGCAAGTAAATAGGAGAGATAAAGAGTTCAAATGTGTATTTGAGTTGTATTGAGCGTGGTTTACAATGGGGGATAGGGGTGCTATTTATAGTAGTAATAAATGCTGATAGGGACACGTGTAAGTATTTTGGTGGTCGAGGGGTCACCTCAACCGGAGTGGCATTGGCATTCGCATGTGGCCGCATTAAATGCGGTGGTTGGATGCGACGTTTGTACTTGGTACGGTGATCCATCGCATGTGGATGGGAGATTCTGTCGAGAAGGAAGCTTTCGGCTGTAGATGACAGTCCGAAGGCTCTGCGTACCGGGGGCCTCATGGTGCCGAGGGCTCCAATTGTCGAAGGCTTGGTTTTCCGGACCTGTTCTCCTATGATGTTTCTGAGCCCAATTCTGTCACTGGTAGCCTTCGGCCAGGGGGCGAAGGCACCCTTTCATGTATCGTGGGCCGCTTAGAGCTCCATCTTGTTGGGCTAGGCCCGCTTGGGCCTGTTGGGCCTGATTGTGATAGTGGAAGTGTATGGGCTGAGAGTCCCTAGGCCATATACTCCATCAGGAGTCCCTCACTCCTTTTGCCGAAAGGTACTTGAGGGAAAAGGAGTAATTGTGTTTGTCCTCGGATGTTGCCTTGCTGTAGTTTGTAAAGTTTGTGAGAGATTTGCGTTTGCACGTGATTTTACCGAGGGCAGTCCTTCAGTCCCCCACATTTTGAAGGATTATGTGATTTTGTATTTTTGTGATTTTTCCCAGAGGGATCTTCTAGTCCCCCACTCTTTGAGCACATGTAATGTGGTGAAGAGGAGTATAGCAGTGCGTGTCCTTACTATGTGGCCGAGGGCTGACTATTTTCGTTTCATTTTGGGGGGATGCCTCGTTAAAAACCTAATTAGAAAAAACCCTGTGGGAAAAATTCTAATGAGGGAAAAAGAGTGCACCGAATTCCCCCAATGATGAATCGAAAAAATTAACCCTTGGCCTGCATATAAACCCGATGCCGAAGGTTGCCCTTGATTTTGGGGGCTTGCTTGTTGATTTGTCAAAGGCATCCTCTCGATATCCTGGTGATACCGAGGGGAGTCCCTTATTTCATGATGAGGGGGTTTGACGGTGTGGCCCCGGGGGGTTTGCACAGAGTGGCCCGGGGGGTTCCCCTTCCCACCATGTTGAGGGCTAAGGGGTCCTAAGGGGGTTTCCCGTTGTTAGGGCGGGGAGGCCTTGATAAAGGAGTCTGAAGGAGATTGCCCGAAGGCATGCATAGTGTTGTCTGAAGGGTGCCATCTGAAGACAATGTTGCGTGGTGACCGTTTGAAGTATAACCGTTGGGATATAGACGTTGGAGATATGACCGTTGGAGTATGATTGTTGTAGGTGGGGTCCACGTGGCGTGTTCCCGTTGGCTTCCCACGAGCGGGTGTCACCGGTTGGCTGAAGAGACGGTGCGCAATGATGATTTTTGTAACCGGGGGCCCAATTCCAGGCCCACGCCTGAAGTGTGTGGCCTATAAATACCCCTTGCCTGACCTGACTTGCCTTGTGCGATTTCATTGTAGCGATGCTCTGGAAAAATTTTCTAGAGAGAGAAAGCGTTAGTTCGATCAAAACCAAACCTCCAAGGTCAGCTCTTCTCCTGTTCTTGAGTTTTTAGCATATTAGCATATTTTGCTATTCCGGCCTTAGATTAGACATTAGAACTCTGTAGGAGGCTTTAGGAATCCCCTTCTACTGCAATCTTTCCGCCCTTAGTTTCCCGAAATGTCGTCGCAAAGTGACTCTCAGGACATCTCGATGGAGCCCTCGGCTGAGGCAGAAAGCATATCCCACATGGAGTCTTCGAACGTGCAGCCCTCGGCTAGAGATGATTTGAAGATTGCATCCGAAGTTCAGAACCAGCTCACGACTGAGGCTGAAGCCGAGGAGTTCGAGCAAGTGATCGAAGATGAAGAGCTTGCCCTCGCTGTGCAAACTGCCGAGGAGGAGGAGGAAAAAGAGAGGATGAAGGTCATTGTTGCCTTCCCACCCCCTCGAAATGCTGGTGAGGTTAGTAGCTCCCGGCCACTCAACCCGGAGCCTCTCAGGGTGGCCCCGACGAAGAAGAGCAAGAAGGCTGGGGGGCAAGAAGAAAGGTAGTGCTGCAGATCTTGGGAAGCCAGTGGAGATACCGGAGGGGTACTCGTGGTTGAACACCGCTGCCCTGACGATAAGGTCGAGGGCTGGCCGGGCTGAATGCTACGTGACGCAGCTGCACGTGGGGCCCTCGGCGACGGTGGTAGAACAGGGCCCCGATGGTCTACTCTCCCAAGCTCCCGAGGGGTGCTTCGCGGTTCACATCCTCTCAGTGTCAATGGGACTTCGGTTCCTGTTGCACCCATTCCTCCTTGAGTACCTTCGGTACATAGGATTAGCCCCCTGTCAGTTGACCCCGAACAGTCATTCCTACATCGTCGGGTTCCTCCAACTCTGCCGGTCTCAGGACGTTACTCCCAGTTTAGACCTCTTCTTCCAAAGCATCAACTTATGTTGGGGCGGTCACGCTAATTCCGAGGGCTGTGCTAACCTCCAGCAGATTGCCCAGTGGAGACTCTTCGATGAAGTGCCCTCGTCCCATAAGGGCTGGAGGGATCATTTTTGCTATATCAGAATGGCAAACAATCCCTTCCCTAGGGAGCTACGGGATCGTTTCAGGCGACACCCGAAGGTAGGGAGCGCTGCCCTCGAGAAAGATGGGAGGAAGATTTCTTTTATTGCGGAGGGGCGTGATAAGCACGTGTCAGTGAAGGAGTCTACCCTCGATGAGGATTTGTATCTTCTCGGCTTCCGTCGTTACCGGTTCCTGGGGGGAGTGGATGAGAAGTACCCCGTACTAGATCGAGCCTTCGAGAGCACAGGAGGTAGTTCCCGGGGGCTCTTGCATTTTGTACTTAGGAATTTTTTGTACTTCGATATTTGTTCATGCCTTTGACCCTCCGGCCTAACCCGTTCTCGTTACTTCGCAGGTACTAACATGGACCCAAACGCCCTCTTCGCTTTGAAGAAGAAGAAGGGGAAAGCCCAGACCAAGAAGAAGGATCATTCGGCCCAACAACCTGTTGATGCCTTTTTCCAGAAGGATGTGGTGAAGCCTTCTGCAGATGTCGCCACCGCTGATGTGGCAGGGGGTTCTCAGGCCGATGCAGCCATGAAGAAGAAGAAGGCCGGGAAGGGGGTGAGCCCTCCGGCTAAGAAGCAGAAGAAGGCAGGGGATGCCCCCTTGGTGATTATCGAGGAACAATCCTCTTCTGAGCCTCCAGCCGTGACTATGTCGACGGCCCCCTCCGGCCTCCCTTCGGAGGATGTCCCTCGGGAGACCTTACAGCTCTCCCTCGTCAAGGGGACCACCGTGATGCACGACACTGTTGAGCCGAAGGCATTCCTTCTTGGCATGACTTCGGAGCTGGATAGGGCGGCCCTCGTTACTTATGACGATGCTGCCCTTGAGAAACAGATCCTCCTGTCCTCTCTGACTGTAAGTATTTTCCTTTGGCTCTTTCGCACCCACTTATCACATTTTGAATGATGATCTAACTTGTTTGCTTGTTGTTTACAAGCTTGCATAGCCCTCGGGGAACAAGCCCAGAGGCTTGAGGAATGGCGCCTCCAGAAGGCCCAGCAGGAGGAGTCCATGAAGAAGCTCATCCGCGACAAGGATGCTGCTCTCAGGGAGATGTTTAGGCTGGAGGAGATCCTCTGGCAGGCTTCTGAGGGCACTGAGCAGAGACTGAAATCTGCAGTGGAGGAGGCCAAGGCCGAAGCTGAAAGGGTCGCTGCCGAGGCCGTGAAGAAAGCTGCCGAGGAGGCAGAGAGGGCCAAGGCCGAAGCGGTGGCTGCTGCCGAGAAGTCTGCAGTCGAGAACTTTGTCACCGAGGGCTGGACCGCTGAGGGGAGGAAGGACTGGGTTTCCTCGGTGGTGGAGAAAAGCGTTGACGCCTGGGTTGAAGGCCCCGGGAAGATGTAACTAGCCGAGAGGGGCGATTCTTTCTATCAAGGAGGTGAATTTTTCACCCAACATCTGATTTACCGGAGGCTCGCCAGGCACTTCAACATCCCCCTTGAGCAATTTGACCCGTCGGTGTACGGTCTTCCCCCCAGCAGCCAGATGTGAGAGTTCCCCTCCCCCCGGCGAAGAAAGGTCAGTGATTGAAGATTCCGTGATGATGGGGGGGTCTGACGATGGTGGAGCTGAGGAGGATGCTGGCGGAGAGGTCACTTCAAAAGCTGTTGAAGGGGGCGCTGTCGGAGCTGTAGATAACCCATAATTGTACTTAAACAAAAAAAAATCTGCTTTCGTAACAAACATTTAGCACCTGTCGGCTCCGGCCCTGATGTAATAACTTACTCCTCTTTTTATCTTTCGTGATTGAATGTATGGATGCCTTCGGGCTTGACGTTTGAATTTGTTTCTTATGCTTTCATGATGAATGAATACTTTCATTTCCCTTGTTTTCTTTTCCTCTTGAATGAATGCCTTCGTTTTGTTCTTGTGAAATGAATGCCTTCGCATTTTTGTCGTGAATGAATGCATTCGTATTTTGATGTTTGAGTTGTCAGTCATTTAGGACTTAGAAAATTTTCTAAGTGTCTGTTCAGCACTAGGCCCTCGGTTGATGCTTCCTTCTGAACTTGTGTATCTGTCATGAGTTGACCGAGGGCCAAAAAATTTAGGACTTAGAAAATTTTCTAAGTGTTGTTTTTATCTCCTGGCCTTCGGTTAATCGACCCCTTTGGCTGCATGATGATTTGACCGAGGGCCAAAATTTTAGGACTTAGAATATTTTTCTAAGTGTTGCTTACAATTTGGCATTTGGTTAACATCCCTTTCGTATGCCTTCTGCTGTCTGAGTTGTAGGCCCTTCTTCATTGGTGGTCGGGGGCCAATAGTTCAGTGACCATAACTCCTGAGCTATGGTCACTGTCGTGCCCTCGGCTTGTGTCTCCTTTTAGTCACGAGCTGACCGAAGGCCTAAGATTCAGGACAGACGTTTTTCAAGTGTAGTTTCACCACTTAGCCTTCGGTTGTATGTTGATGGAGGCCTGAGTTTGTCACCACTGAGTCTTCGGTTTACCACTGAACCTTCGGTTAATGGAGGCCTGAGTTTTGGGACTTAGGAATTTTTCAAATAGTGCTTTGCCTTAGAGCCGTCGGCTGATATGCCTCATCAGCCGTATAGAGTATGTAGCCTTCATGATATGTTCCCGGGGGAACTGGTGTCGTGGACTCAAAAAAATTCCCCATTGAGTTTGCAACTGATGGCCATTGGTAGTTGACTTTGAACCTGTTTGCAGACAGGGAGCCCCTGGTGTTGATTGTAGTACCGGAGGCTACTGGAGTGTGGACTTAGAAAATTTAAGCCCATGTTTGCGATGGAGAGTGCTGTATAGCAAGAGCCTTCGGAGCTTGGCCACGGAAATGTGGACATTTAAAAGATGCCTTCGGTATTTCTTGAAACTCCGGATAATGTGGACTTAACCTAATTCATCCCAACTGTGGGGTTTGGGAGCCTTCAGGTAATGTGGACTTAACCAAATTCATCCCAAGTTGTGGACTTAGTCATATTTTGGTGACACTTGTTGAATAGCTTTCAGGTACCGGAGGTGTTCCCTAGGGAAGCCTTCCGTATTGTCTGAAATGTCTTGTGAGGAGAATTCTTGGTAGCTGCCGAAAGTTGTTCTAATGGAGTTTGTACTCGTCGATTGCTCGTTGAGTCTACTCCCCTTCACTCCATTTTTTTGGCAATGAAGAGAAGGCTTCAAGAAACTTGGTTTCTTGGTAAGGCTTGGCCTATCGGGAGGCAACAATATACACCATCGGGTCCCCCTCGGGATTAACCTCCCGGATTCCGAGGGGATCGAGGGTCGTTTCCTCGGCACGAGACATAGTCCGTTGCCCGCCTCCCCTTAGGGGATGGCACGGAAAGCGCCTCAGTTTTGAAAGTCGTCCCCTCAGCATAAGACATAGTCTGTTGCCTGCCATTCCCTTGGGGTAATGGCGCGGGGAGCGTTTCGGTTTGAAAGTCGAATCCTGAGGCATATTAGTTGCCTGTCATTCCCTTGGGGTAATGGTGCGGAAAGTGTTTCAGGAAGGGTTTTATTTGCATATTAGTTGCAAAAGGTCGGGGTACTTGGTACCTCCGGCGCCGATAGGTGGGGCCTTCGGCATAAATGCGTCCTCGAGGGGTACAGCTTTATTGTTAACACTCGGTGTTATTTTTGCATACAGTACCCCCGGCGCTTGGTACCGAGGGGTCTTCCTTAAAAACACTTGGAGTTTTCTTCATTGTCGTGGGTGATTGGAGTGTCCACCCTCGGCACTTGGTGCCGAAGGGTCTTGCTTGTGATAAGGCCTTGGGCCAGGTGCTTGCACGAGGGCTTGGCCACTTATGTGTGATGTGTACTTGGTACTTTTGGTGTCTTCAACATGTATTTATTCTTGAAAAATATGAGGCCTTGGGCCGTTGGATAATACATGGGTAAGTTATGAGGGCTTGGCCGCTCATACGTTACTCATAGAATTTGACAAGGTGGTGCACATTCCAATGTCTAGGGACCTCGACCCCATTAGGGTGCTTGAGCTTGCACGCTCCGAGTTTGATGATGGTTGTGACGATGTAGGGCCCTTCAAATTTTGGGGCCATCTTGCCGCCCTCGGTTGGTTGGCTAGCTTCCCTTCTTCGAAGAACATAGTCTCCCACCTGAAATTCTCGGGAACGAATCTTGCCTTCGGTAGTTTTCCGCCTTTAGGAAGGCTTGCTCTCGGCGTTCGGAGATGAGGTGGAGGTCGAGGGCCATGTTGGCGTCGTTGATGTCGGGATCGTATTGGGTCACCCTTCAGGTAGGAAGGGTCACCTCAGTGGGAGCCTTGGCTTCGAATCCGTAGCAAAGGGAGAAGGGTGTTTCACCTATTCCCCGCCGAGGGGTGGTGCGGTAGGCCCATAGAATGTTGTGAAGTTCTTCTACCCAACCTCCCCCTTCGGCTTCAAGTTTCTTTCTCAGGCCTTCGAGTAAAGTTCGGTTGGTGTTCTCCACTTGTCCGTTGCCTTGAGGGTAGGCAACGGATGAGAAGGTATGCTTGATGCCCCATGCCTCTAGGAGGGCACAGAAGGGGGCTGCCTCAAATTGAGTCCCGTTGTCAGAGAGGATTTGTTGAGGGACGCCAAACCTTGTGAGGACGTTTTTGAGGACAAAGTGGCGGCATCTAGCTTCGGTGATGTTGGCGAGGGGCTCAGCCTCCACCCACTTGGTGAAGTAGTCAATGACAACGATGATGTACCTGTTGTTGGAGGTACCCCTCGGCAGAGGGCCCACATGGTCTATGCCCCACCTAGAGAAGGGTATGGATGTGCTGATGGGGGCATAGTCGACCGTTGGCCTGCCGGGGGCCTTCTTAAAGTGTTGACAGGCAGTGTTGGTCCCGGTTGTACTGGGTACAGTCTAGAGGGGGGTGAATAGACTGTACTGGTTTTTAACCTTTTCAAGCTAGGTACCAGATTTAACAGAATAGCTTGTTCTGTTGACAGAACATACAGGTAGCGGATGATGGTCTTCTGGTAGGGGGGGTCTGTTCGATTAGCCTCAAAGAAGCAAAGGCAGTTGGCCTTCTGTTAACTCACAAGACACGTTCTGCTGAACACAGAGACCAAGTCTTTGGAGTTAAACAGTTAAAACTAAAAACAATAAATAAATGCAGTAAGTAAATGATACCAGGGATTTTTATAGTGGTTCAAGGAACAACACGTTCCTTTAATCCACTGTTCCACTAAGCTTGTAAAAAACCAATTACACAGCCTTAGTCCTAGCACTTAAGAAGCTCTCCATGTCTTCTTCAAGTGTAGATGTCTCCTAGGATGCACTTCCTTGCTTCCTTTAAGACTTGTCCTTTCACTGAGCTCCTGGAAGTATGACCACTTCACTACTCCAGTTACTTAGACGTCCTTCTCGTTGGAGAAGAGTTCTGTGAGAACATGGGTTTTCCAACTAGCTTCGTTACAAAAGATTTGTTGTTGAGGTGCTTGAAGTGTTAAAGAACAGTTGGAACGATTTTCTCTTACGTTGGAAAGAAAAGATATTGAGATTATAATCTTTTCCAACGTTTTTGAATGTTGCTCGTGAAGGATGAAAAATGAAGTCTTTGAGCGTTTGAATGATTTTCTTTCAGTAGTATCGTTTGTTTTGTTCTTCAGAGTGTATCTTTTATACTGAGGTTGTCTTCTCGTTGGAGGAAGAGGACAACTGCATTGAATGCGCGTACAGTTGACTTGACCAGTAGGACCCAGGAAAGTTGGCGTGTTACTATTTTGGGATAAAATTATCCTGAAATATCCTGGAATGTCGGCCAATCATCAGCTTTTACTCTTCAGGGTACGAGGTGCATTAAATGTGCATTTAATGCGCGTACTGTAGCTTTTCCGTTGAAGTCTTCTAGCCGTTGAAGGAATCTTCCGTTGGTTTCACCGGCTAAGATGATTTTATAAAAATCCTCTAAGTGTCAGGCCTTCTCGTGTCTTCAGCAGAGGATCATTCAGAGAAGGTCTTGATCACTTCTGTTATGATAAGCTACCAGAGGGTCCTTAGGTCTTCTGTCTGGAGGCGAGCTAACAGAGGGTCTTGAGAGATTCTGTTGAAGTCCAAAAGAGAGCCAAAGGGTTTATGTCTGAGACAAAATAGCAGAGACCCAAAGGTCTTCTATTCAGACTAAGTCTATCAGAAGGTCTTCTGTCAGGAGGTCTTCTGTCAGTCGACTATACTAAAACATATACAAAGAAAATTCTAATACAATTTTCTAAAGGGGGGTACTCTAAAGTCCTATAGCATCATCAAAATCTAATTACAATTATTCCTTACAATTTCCCCCTTTTTGATGATGCCAAAACCCTTTAACTATTTCCAGAGAAGTGCCTTCAACACAAAGGAATAAAGTTAAAAACTTTTCATTTAAAATCTTGGTGGGCAACTTAGCATAGGAAAAATAGTAAGAGTACGGTACAATCAGATAGCAATTAATAAAGCAAAGTAAACAGGAATTATCAAAACGTAAAAACAGACAAAATTAGCAGATCAGGATGAATTGCCTTACAAAGTGAAAGGCAGAGATGATCTTTTATAGATTGATCGATTACAGGGGTGTTCTATTACAGAGTTTCCCTTTCAGCTGCAGCTCTAGCTTGATCATCCAATCCTTGTAATCTTTTTAGCTCTGCATTGACAGTTTCTCGAATTCCTACAAGATTGCCAGAGCTCTGATGTGAGGCCCAGATAGGTGAGAGCTTGCAATCCAGGTAGCTAAGGACACCTTCATGAATGTCCTTTCCCGGAAGAATTTTATTGAGATACCAGAATTCAGCTTCTTCCAAGGAACCACCATGTCTGACCTTCACCAGACCA